TTTTTAAACTTTTAGTTTAAAAATTATAAAAACTAAACAGCCTACAGTATTTTTACAGTCTTTATTTTACAGTTAAAATATATATGTATTAAATAAAGTCTAATGTTACAACTAATCGGGGAACCCTTTAAATGTTATTACCTTTTGAGTTATTTGTATATAACCTGTAAGACAAGTTGATGAACTAGTCTTACAGGTTGTAGCTCACATTAAAGGTGGATAAAGTTCTGAAGGGATTTATCTTGGTCATCACAAAAACCTGGCATTTTAACAGGAGTGTGTAGATTTGTACATTCACAGGTTATGTACACCAAAAATGTTTTTTAATTTAGGAAAAGGGGTTGTTCAAGATAAGTGCTTTTGAATTTCAAAAAGCTTGTGCTGTTTGAACAAGGCTGTCTTGCTGTCTCAAAAACAACTCTTTATTTCTCAAAAAAGGAACATATTTCTAAACTTTTCTTTCATTTCTGACAGCTCGTGAGCCACTTCCTACCTGGGACAAGCAGATCCAGTCTTTATGTTTCCAAGTCAACAACCTCCTAGAAAAGATCCGTCAAGCAGCACCAGACTGGGCCGCACAGGCTATGGAATCTCAAATGTCCCAATAAAAACGTACTCCTCCCTCACATCTGTTCCCCGAGCCCACCTTGAAGTTCTACCTTTATGCTCAAAATTACCATAATTGGATTTATGACCTTTATAATTAATTATACAGTCGCTCTTGAGTAGGTTTTTTCTACTGTTATTCAAAATGTATACGTATGATCTATGTCTGGGATAATTATAATCTTTGGATGCAACTTTAGGTGTAACTAATTCACAAATTCAAACTGGGACGTGATCATTTGTAGCAGACAAAAAGTCAAAAAGAAGATGCACACAACAGGTCTTATTTAAGCTTTTGTATTTCAAGCTGTTTTTGAGTTTTCACTTTAATAATCCTCAATATTTGTCAAATGGTTCTTGAGTACCTGATGTAAATATCTTGGTGCATTTTCAGTGAAGAGAAATAAAGTTTGAGTTGAAAGTCTGTCTGTGTTAATAATGTCATTTTACACTACAAACTCTTTGAAACCTGTTCCGTGGTTTATGAAATAATTTTGCTAACAGGCAAAGCAGGGTGACCTCCAGTCAATGCCAATGGTTTTAAAGCAAAGATGTGCTTTGTGTTGCACTTATAATACTGTATGTGTTGGGGACAATGCTCAGCTACTACCCCACAAAGTTGTAGCTTAAAATTAGCTGAGATAAAGCCAATTCTGTATATTCTAATGTCCGTTAGCGCTTGTGGCCATCTTGAAATCAGTTGAGTGCAGATGGTTATCAATTGTAGGAATCAAACCAATCATTTCTATCTGAGAGTTTCATTAGTTTTTGTTTACTGGTTCATGAGATATTTTGTAATGTTATAGACAAACACACTGGAAAAGCTTGCCACTTTGCCTTTGGTAGGCGATAATGAAAATACAGTATTTGAAGGAATTCATATCACCCACTGCCTTCAATGTCAAATTTGTAAAGATCTTGCAAGATTTGTTAGTGCTTGGAAATATGTGTTGGGAATGGTTCTCACCGACCACATCAAATTTTAGCTCATCTGTGGAACTGATGGAATCATAACAATTTTTTGTGTTTACTGAAGTCATTTTGTTGTGGCTGGCAGCCATATTGAGCCAAGTTTGATCCAAAAATTCAATTAGTTGTAAATGTAAATCCTATTTTTATTTATGTCCAATGGTACATGAGATTTTTAACTAACATCCAGATGGACAGAAATAAGCAACTATTCCCTGCCTTTCGTGGCAGCAGCCAAAAGTTAGATAACGCTTCAATTTTGAAATTATATATATATACATACACTCACCGGCCACTTTATTAGGTACACCTGTCCAACTGCTCGTTAACACTTAATTTCTAATCAGCCAATCACATGGAAGTGCATTTAGGCATGTAGACATGGTCAAGACAATCTCCTGCAGTTCAAACCGAGCATCAGTATGGGGAA